AAAAAAGGGAAAAAATACAGGAGTAACCTCATAAAATGGACTCAAATGTGTGTCAGCTTCCTTCATCCCCTCTATTCACTCTTGTTTGTTATTTTAAGAAAAGAAAAAGAAAAGAAAAGAAGCCTAAAAGGGATGGGTCACCAAGGAAAGGAAGAAACATAACATGCTTGGATAATCCGTAACTAACAAATAATATTTCATATATTTCATAATATGAAATATGTTTTTCAAATATGTTACTTTATTTGTACCTCATCACAATATTGGGAATATGTACAATTACTCCCATATCTAGGCTAGGAAACTGAGGCTTGAGGAGGTTTAGGAACTTTCCTAAATTTGAACCACTAATTCCATCAGACCAGAATTGAAACTCAGATATTCATTCTTCCAAACTCACTTTTGTTCACCATACCAGATATATCCAGATTCCCGTTCCTGGCACAATACACGGCAACTCACTATGTTTTAATATGTGAACATTGTTGTTGTGCACTGTAGAGTTGGAATTGACTCATGGTTCATCCTCCTGTGGGTTTTTAGAGGTTTAATTGCACTGGAAGAGATTGCCCATCCTTCTTCCAAGGGGCAGCTTGTGGCCTTGATCACTTGCCTTTGGGATTGCAACACAGCTTCTTGCCATTAGGCTACCAGATATAACACATGAATAGTAATAAACACATCTTATTGGTTATTTACTAAGAGTCAAAGGAGATCTAGTAGTGCAATAAATGATGACATGTTTGCTTGCTAGATGAAAGATTGGCAGTTTAAACTCAACCAAAGTCTCAGTAGGAAAAAGACTTGAGGAATCTATTACTACAAAGATTATGGCATAGAAAACTCTATTGGACAATTACTCTGGACTTTGGGATCACTATGAGACAGAATTTACTTGTAAGCACCCAACAGAAGAATTGTGTGACAGATATTCTATACAGTGCTTGTACATTATCACTTTCAGTTCACATAACAAACCTATGATGAAGCAACTGTTATTCCAACGTTACAAAGATGGCAAGCTAGGCACAAAGAAATGAACCCTTTTAGGAATCATTTCTTTTCTGCTTTGAGTTTTTTGTTGCTGCAATGTGTTTTTATTACTGGATAGCGTATTGAATCAAAGAGCATTTCCAAAATTTTATTTTGAAATCCAGAGTTTGATATGTATTGTTTGATAAACATACATCCTGGTGTTTTCAGGGTAGAATTATATTGAACAGTCCTCTCTTTCAGGTGTTACAATTAGTGGGACATATATATCCTGCTGGACTCTGTATTGCCTTCTATTTCCCTGGTGGGTCAAAATAATTTAGGGTGTTTGAAAATGTTACATATGCAGGAAAACAGAATTGGCCCATGCAGTTTACAAATAATGCACAGGAATCTGGATTGTTGTTGTTGTTATGTGCCGTTGAGTCACTTGCAACTCATAGTGACCCTGTGTACAACAGCCCTAAACTCTGTTCTGTCCTGTGCCAATCGCACTGTCTCTGACACTCCCATCCCGATTTCCCCAGTCACTGAATCAATCCACCTCATAGAGGGCCTTCCCCTCCTGCGCTGTCCCTCCAGCCTACCAAGCACGATGTCCTTCTCCAAGGACCGGTCTCTCTTTACAATATGTCCAAAGTATGTTAGATATAAGACTTAACTCCTGGTGAAAAAGCCAAAGGACACAATAGTTTTGCAAAAACACAGCTCCAGGATGGATCATCACATACCTTGTAAAAACATTAATTTGCAACATATACTCATTTCTCCAGTATTCAACAGTTCTACAGGTCTCTTCCTGCCTTGTCTCCCCCCATGGCCATGTGTACTGTCAGTGGGAAGGCAGAACGATCCAATAAATTCCAGGGGAGAAAAAGGCAAGTGAGTGGACTTAAATCACTTCCTTCAGTGTCAGAGCCTGATTCTAAAGCTGGGTCTGATGACTGTGTATGTAGTCCTAAGGTCAGAGGTTTGAAGTAACTGTCTCACTGGAGAGCTATGGGGTAGTCTGTGTTCATAATGATTTCAGCCTCTGCCCTAGAGATAGTCTGAGGTGGCATCGATTTGTAAATGGTGGGTTTGGTTGTGGTCTTTTTTTATCCCTGATTATCTGGCAGCTTTGCTCTTAAAAGTTAATAACTTCTGACCAGAGTAAAGGAATCAGCTTCTGAGACCAACCTCCGGCACTCCACTTCCTCCCAGCGCCATGCCTTACTCCTGCTGCCTGCCCAACATGAGCTGCCGCACCAGCTGCTCCTCCCGGCCCTGCGTGCCCCCCAGCTGCCACAGCTGCACCCTTCCCGGGGCCTGCAACATCCCCGCCAATGTGGGCAGCTGCGGCTGGCTCTGCGAGGGCTCCTTCAACAGCAGCGAGAAGGAGACCATGCAGTTCCTGAATGACCGCCTGGCCAGCTACCTGGAGAAGGTGCGGGACCTGGAGCGGGAGAATGCGGAGCTGGAGTGTCGCATCCGTGAGTACTGCCAGCAGCAGGTGCCCTTCGCCTGCCCAGACTACCAGTCCTACTTCCGGACCATCGAGGAGCTCCAGCAGAAGGTGAGGGCTGGACTTTGAGGGGGCACAGAGGAAGCTGGTTCTGTTTGAACAATAACATGTTTATGTTTAAGTGACCCTCACTATAGAATCTTACTTTCAGATTCTTTGTGCCAAGTCTGAGAATTCCAGGCTGGTGGTGCAGATTGACAATGCCAAGCTGGCCTCTGATGACTTCAGAACAAAGTATGTGGAGACCTTTTTGGATCGGATGACTTTTAAGGGTCCTGTGGGCCCCATGATGTCTAGAAGGGAAGAGACATTTTCCCTTTTTACTCCCTTCTAAGAATCTTGGTTACATAACATCATTTTCAGACAAGGAACTATATCTCAGGGCCATTTGCTTTTCAGTTTATGTTGAAGGGATTCCCAATTCCTCAATGTCCAAGATTGAAAACAGTTGGTCTTTGAGAATGGGAGGATTTGTGATAGATGAGAGACTCCAACTTCTGGGTCTCCTCAGGTGCCATCTGATGTGGGTTAGGGGGTTATCTCCAGGTGGTTCATGCAACTTGAGGGAAATATGTGACAAATAACATGCAGAAAACTGTGTAAACTCAAGGACTATTAAGATAGTCTCACCAAATAGGACATGGGCCAGGGAAGTGGGTTTCTTTTCTGGATCAACTTCCCACTCCGATCTGTGTTCAAAGGTATGAGACGGAGCTGTCCCTGAGGCAGCTGGTGGAGGCCGACATCAACAGCCTCCGCAGGATCCTGGACGAGCTGACCCTGTGCAAGTCCGACCTGGAGGCCCAGGTGGAGTCTCTGAAGGATGAGCTGCTGTGCCTGAAGCAGAACCATGAGCAGGAAGTCAACACTCTGCGCTGCCAGATTGGCGAGCGCCTCAACGTGGAGGTGGATGCTGCACCCACTGTGGACCTGAACCGTGTGCTGAACGAGACCAGGTGCCAGTATGAGGCCGTGGTGGAGACCAACCGCAGGGACGTGGAGGAATGGTACAACAAACAGTCTGAGGAGCTGAACAAGCAGGTGGTGTCCAGCTCAGAGCAGCTTCAGACCTGCCAAGCAGAGATCATTGAGCTGAGACGCACAGTCAATGCCCTGGAGATCGAGCTGCAGGCCCAGCACAACCTGAGAGACTCTCTGGAGAACACCCTGACCGAGACGGAGGCGCGCTACAGCTCCCAGCTGTCCCAGGTGCAGTGCATGATCAGCAACGTGGAGTCCCAGCTGGGTGAGATCCGCTGTGACCTGGAGCGTCAGAACCAGGAGTACCAGGTGCTGCTGGACGTGAGGGCCCGGCTGGAGTGTGAGATCAACACGTACCGGGGCCTGCTGGAGAGCGAGGACTGCAAGCTGCCCTGCAATCCCTGTGCCACAACCAACGCCTGTGACAAGCCCATTGGACCCTGTGTCACGAATCCCTGTGCACGTTCCCGCTGTGGGCCCTGCAGCACCTTTGGGTGCTAAATGTCTTGGGGTCATTAGGAGATTGAGTAAGGATGATAGAGTCATCAGTGGACCAATTCTACTCTGACAACTGTCAGGGACAGTGATAGCTTTAAGGCCCTCCAATAAATCTGGGTAGTGGAGGACGATGAACCAGGCTGACCTGATTTCCTTTCTTGCAGAACTGTTTTCTAGTTGTTCTGTGTCCTGATGGCCTGACAAGTTGGAGCTCCGTAGGTGCCCCCTGACATGTTTTGTGGTCCTCTTTGCTGCTTGAACATTCCATTCTAGCAGCTCCTCAAATCCCTTTGTAAATCTCCTAATAAACTTTCCTCTTGCAAAGCAGAAAAAAAAAAAAGGTAATAACTTCTGTGTCTGCTAATCATGAAATGTTTTCCAAGTACCTTCCCTGTTCAGAGCAGACCAATGCTGTCTTTATTTAGGGGTGGCCAAGTTGGATAGTTTTATGTGGCAAGCTTCCTCAATAGTCTCTTCTTCAGCTTTTGAAAAGAAGTGAAAACAGCACTCTTAGAAGATCAAGCATTTTCTTTCATCATCATTAATTAGTATCACCTTTTGAAAACCCTGGGGTGAAGTGGTGGATATTTCCTTGTATTTCATTTGAATTATTTCCTGGGAGGAATCCCAAGATGAGACCCTTTATGCAAGCAGTGACCCAGGCAGGAACTGCAGGTGCTATTTTCATCCTGTTAGTGGGTTTTACTAGCTAAGGACAATTCTTTCAGGATTGTAATCTCTGTATTTTCAGAATAATAGTTCTAGGGAATTAGAGGTTATGATGGGTGAGTATGGAGGTAACTCTGTCCCAGATTCTCCAGGTTATGGATCCACTCTTTTTTAAAATAATTTTAACCCACAAAACTCATTGCTTCCAAACTCTTTAGCCTCCTTGCCTGTTCTGTTCCTGTTGGTTTTCTCTTCTTCCAAATGGCACAAGGACAGACAATGATAACAACAAACAATACTTGCTGTAAGACCATTATTGTCTGGTGCATCTAGTACTTCTTTTTTTAAAAAAACTTTGTTTTATATTGGTTTGCATACAAAATTCATAAACACTGTGTTTCACACTTTCCTTCATTCACACTCCTATACATTGTGTTTTATAAACTTAAACACCATTGAATCATGCCCACCATTACTTTGCCTTTTCAGGTCCCTGCTGGATCTTTCCCATATCCTTACCCCCCCTTTCCTCCACCCACCAAATTGTGTGACCCTTTGATAGTACTTCTTTTTTTAATAGTTTGACTTTTTATCTTTTTAAAAATTATACTAGTTTATTAACAAAATTTGAATACATTACTTCTTAAGATGATACTGACGTCAAACCTCATTTCATAACAGTGGATAGCCAATAGACTCACCAATATTTTAATGCATTCTCTGGGTATGGTGGGAGTTCATAATTTCTTGCACATCTCCTACTCTAAATGGCTGGAATTGTATGCATAGTACTGTAATCTAAAATTGCACAATCAATTCAGTCTTCCTTGCTCCTAACCTATTCTGAGGGTCAAGTCACTTAGTTATAGCTGGAGGAAGCGGCAGTTTAAGTACTTAAATCAATTAAAAAAGGATCTACTAACTAATGTGTAACTCATGTTCCCTTTTAAATGTCCAAATCTTATACTTGCTTTCTCTCCCGTGAAAACAGTAAATAGTATCATATGTTGAGGGAACTCTGATGGCCAAATGGGTAAGGAGTTGTGCTGACAACCAAAAAACAGATGGTTCAAATTCACCAGCTTCTCAGTGGAAGAAAGATGGACAGTTTGCTCTCATACTGTTTACAGCTGCTGAAAACCTGCTGGAGGGTGGACTATAAGTCAGTTCCAACTCAATGGCATGAATTGAGTTGCTGAATTATCAACCATTAAGGGTTTATGATATGTTAGGCTCTTGACCAATTGCTTATATGTATGGCCACATTTAGTCTTTTAAAAACTCCTATAAGACAAGAGTATATTCCCATTTTTCAGATAAGTAAATGGAGAGCAAACAAAGGAACTGAAATGAGACCACGTAGCAGGAAAAGGAACTGAGATCTGAAAAGCTATCTGATTCCAAAGCCTTTGTAGTTTTAGCTTTTGTCACCTCAATACTGCTATTGAGATCTAAAAGTTTTCATTACTCTAAAAGTTTAGCTAGTAGGGTAGGAGAGAAAGTGAAGCAGATGCTTTTATTTGGTTCTATCTCTTCTGTGTCTGAGTCTCTTAGTAGGCTCTAGACATCTATGCCAATGAAGTATGGGGGGCTATGTTCTTTAGAGGAAAACAGAACTCTAACTTCTTCTCTTCCAAGTTTGCAACCTTTGCTCGAATACTCTTCTCTAAAACATGTTCTTCTCAAAGCCTACAGACCTCAATAGCATACTTTTTTTTAAAGACATGAAACACCTACTAGTGAAGATCAATGACTATAGCCTTCAGTATGGATTACATCCCGACATAAAGAAAAGCAAAACCCTGACAATTAAACCAATAAACAGCATAATGATAAATGGAGGAAAGAGTGAAGTTGTGAAGGATTAAATTTTACTTGAATACACAATCAAAACTCAGCAGTCAGGAAATCAAATGATCTACAGTACTGGACAAATCTACTGCAAGGGAGCTAAACTTCAACATAATAAAGACAGAAGATGCCATTTTTGAAGACTAAGGTGTACATGAGCCACATCATAGAATTTTCAATGAACACATATGCGTTCAGAAGCTGGCCAATGAGTAAGGAAGACTGAAGAGCAGCCAATACCTTTGAATTATGGTGTTGGTGAAGAATATTGTCTATTCCATGGGTTACCAGAAGAAGGAACAAATAAATGTGTTTTGGAAGAAAGATAGCTGGAGTATGGAGAGGTCTGTCTCATTTACTTTGGACATGTTATCAAGAGCAGCCAGCTGCTGGAGAAGGACATCGTGTTTTCCAAAGTAGAATGACAACAAAAAAAGATTTTCAACAACATGGACTGTCACAATGGTTACAACAATGAGATCAAACATTGTGATAATTGTGCAGAACTGAGCAATCCTTTGTTCTTTTTTACTTGGAGTCACTATGAGTTGGAACTGAATAGATTGCATTTATCAAGAACAATATTGCCACAGTTGATTACTGAAGGGGAGGAATGCAATTTTCATCTACAAAACATTATTTTAGTGTAACAGTGTATCTTGTATATTGATATACTTGGAATATTTTACATCCATGAGAACAATCATGCTTTTGTTATCAATGCCAGCTATCTCTGGAACGGTGTGTCTGAGCTGAAATACTAGTCTTCCACGGGAAGGTCTTCTCCAACAAGCCAAAACAAATGAGAGACCCTTTAACTCTATCATAGCTCTCTGATTTCCTTAAATCATAACATTTATCTCAAGTTGAAATTACTGATATAATTCCATTTATATGAAATATTCAGAAAAAGAAATTTATAGAGACTGAAAGCAGATTAATATTGGCCTGAGCCTGGGGGTCGGAATGGAAATTAACTGCAAAATAGGCATGAGGGATCTTATTGAGGGAATACAAATATTCTAAAATTGATTTATGGCAATTTTTATACCTTTTGGTAATTCCTAAAACTTCGTGAACTGTACACTTGAAATGGGTGAATATTATGACACGTGTTAATATTGTTGATTTCTGACTCATAGTAACCCCACGTAACAGAATAGAACTGTCCTAGTTTTTTTGCTATAATCTCTATGGAAGCACATTGTCAGAGTGTCTTAGAACAATCAGCCTTGTGATTATCAGCCAAAGGCTCAAGTGTGGTACCATTAGCATGTCTATACCTCAGTAGACTGCTAAAAATGATCTTCCTCATTTTGTTTACTTTATTGCTCTTTGATTAGAAAATAAGCTTCTAAGGTAGAGAACTTGTCTGTCCGGTTCACCAGTATATGCCTGGCACCTTGAACAGCATGTGGTACATTATAAGTGCTCAGTAAATCTTTAGGGAATGAGTAAACATATGGGCTAACAAATACTTACTGTTTTTCAGCACAGAGTGAAAGTTTGTGAAAGGAGATGTGTTCAATACAGAATCAATAACAAACTTCAAGTCTACAAAATCACACACAAAAGAGAAAAATGTTATAACATCTCTATTCTTGATAAGTATATAAAATTGTCTGCAGCCAATGTAGCATCTTCTCTGCCTTCACTCTCTTTGTCATTACAGGGAAGATATCTGGAATTACAGAATTCTCTCCCAGTGCAGTTCTGTGCTCAGTTCTTTAAAAGAGAAGTGGTAAACAGTATATGAAAAGAAGAAGCCTTTACTCTCTGGCAGCAATTGTGGGCAGATGGGGAGTGAGACAGAGGTGCAGTTTACAAAGGCTTCCAAGGCAGTGCCTGTGAACCAGTGGCTTCATAGCTGAAGGTTGGTGAGATTATAGCTTCTCTGCATTCCTGAGATTCATCTCTTGCTTTAGGGTAGTCAACATCCACTTCTCACCTCTAATGACTTCTTAATTTCATGTCTGTGTCAGGAAATTTGGAAGACAACTGCCTGCCTGACTGACTGGAAGAAAGACATGTTTATTCCCATTCCCAAGAAAAGTGATCCATTAGAATGTGGAAATTCTCAAACAATATCGTTAATATAACATGAAAGCAAAATACTATTGAGGATCATTCAAAGACTGTGGCCTTCAATATAAATTACATCTCAACATTAAGAAAACAAAAATAAATAAAAAAATCCTCTCCACTAGACTGACAGGCAGCATCATGATATATGAAGAAAAGATTGAGACTGTTAGTGATATCTTCTTACCTGGATCTACCAATCAGGAGATCAGGAGACATATTGCATTGGGAACGTCTGTGGTCAAGGACCTCTCCAAATTACTGAGAAGCAATGATATCAGTTTGAGGACTAAGGTTATGCCTGATCCAGTCTTTGGTCTTTTCAATTACTTGTTATGCATCTCAGAACTGGACAATGAATGAAGATGACAGGAAAACAGTTGATGCCTTTGAATTTTATT